GAACCTGGGTCTCGAAGAAGGTAGGTCTCGAAGAAGGAGGTTGACTTTTAGTGGGGAGAAGAAAATGGGCTCAGCAATACCCAGAGCTCTCTTCTGATCACAGCCTTGCTGCAACAGCAGCCATGTCCATGAGTTGTGTCTGGAACTAGGTTCGGTGGAGGTTTAGCTGGGGCATGTCCAGGACAAGCTGTTGAAAGGATAATCCTCCCTGTTTGAAAACTGTTCAGAAACTTAACCGTGTTATTTTCTCTTTAGAAAACCAGATTTTTCTCTGCTTGAAAGACAGGTTTAGTCTTGTTTTCTACTGTGACTATAACAACTGTCAATTTGTGGGAGTTTCTGTTACGTTTGTTTGGGTTTTTTTCTTTGTGCAGAGATGTAGTATTTGCGTAGAAAGGTGAATTCTTGTAATAGATTAGTTTTTACCATCCTGAATGTCAAAATGAAATGTTTTCTGAGCTTAACTTCATACACTGATGATGGATTGATTGTGTAATTCTACCCTAGCTGCAGAAAATAAAGGTATGTTGGCTGTAATTCCACTTATTATTTGTAGAGAATACTGTCTCTTAAAACTGTATATTCTGACTGTAATTCTTAAGGCTTCTGGCACTGGAGTTAAGCTAAGGTATTTGCTTTGGGAACAAGTCCCAGTAGAACTATACTAATGGTTCCATGTCCATTCACTGCCACTGCAGGACTGAAATGTTGTAAGAGCAAAAGGATACACAGCTTCTGTGATGCTACATTAGGTATAATTCAGCTGTCTTTTCAGGCAAGGTTTACGAGTGAGCTAATGTAGTGTTTGCACTATCTGGTTTTGGATCCAGGTAGTTGTCTGTGAAGTCATAATATGGTATGATTTCATATTAGTTTCTGCCTAACTTCCAGGTGACCCATACTGAGTTATCATACAAAGTGGGCATTAGTGTTTGCATATATCATTATCATCTTTAGGAAAATACTCGGCAAACTGTTTTGGTCTTTTATTTGTTAAATTTTACTTTAAAGTCATAATGTCTTTGCTTTCAACTACAAACAGTAGCCATGCTATTAGCATGCAAATTATATAGAATGGTGTGGAGACCTCCTTTTATGCTTCAGCATACACAGTGCAAGATATTAAGTGTTAGTACATGGAAAAGAGGACATGAATGTGTAATACAGTAGTATGAGGCATGGATGTCTGTAACATTGTCCTTTCTCATCCTTAGTTCCGAGGATAAGCAATGACTAAACCAGCATTTTTCCTTCCCATTGTTATAAAGTCCTTTTGTGATGAATCTGTTATCATTCTTGTTATTTCAGTGCAACAGCTCACGCAGATGATGTGAGCATCCGTAACAATCATAACCACTGTTAACATTGGTACTTTCTTTTCTCTCCGAGGTATCATGCACTCAAAGTTCCTATGTGTGATTGATTTTTAATTTCTTTTTTTTAATTGTACATCAGGTTTTGGGTAATTTCTATTTTTCTTGCTAAATTTCAGTTCTTTTATATAGCTTGCTTTCCTCTCTTTTGTTGCAGGTGGGAAGATTGGCTATTCCCCTGAAAAGACTACAAGTTTGATCTCAAATCCTGCCCATCTAAGATCTTGAGAATTAGCAAGCAGTGAGGATCATTTGGCTAAGTATTTCCTGCAGACTTCTCTCATCGGTGCTTGGGAGCAGCACAAAGTGTACAAAGCAATAGTCATGTAGTAGGGTTGTAGAAAGATGGCTTCTATATTACCTTTCAGCTGATGCAGTGTAGAGTAAATAAGTTTGTACTTGTTTTTTTCATTGACTTCTTTTCCTCTGACTTCAACTTTTAGTTCTTGAGGTGGAGTAAAAAGGAATGCGGCGTTGGCTGCTTCCCTTCCCCTCTATGCAGAAGGTTGTTTTTAGGGGGAATTAGGGTATATGGGAACAGTCTGAGTTGTTAATTTCTCATAGCTAACAACTTCTGAGTTAGCTGTACTGCCTGGCTGATGGAGCTGACACATCAAGGTGTAGTGCTAAGCCTTATCAAGCTAGAACTTCTCACAGTTTGGAATGCTACTCCTTTTTTCCTGCCTGCTTTTTGGGATCTTCACAGTTTGCAAGGGGCCAACAGTTTTATTTGTTCAGTGAAGAGTGCTTAGACTCGCTGTCAGTAAGCGCAATGGAAGTATGTGGAAAATAAATGTAGTTTTGAATGAAAATTTACCAAGTTTAGAAATGAACAGTACATTGACCAGTCTGCTTGGATTTATTCTTGTGCGTGCAGGTCTAGTTTGGAGGTAGCTGTTCCTGTTACATACAGCACCAGTTTCAGATGTACACAAAGCCAGATTTGCCTTTTTGGCCCCAGTGGTGGGGTAAACCATGAAGTTGTACTTCAGATGCAGTGTGTGTTCAGTTATGCCTTTACATTGACTTATTTCAAAAGGTAAGTGGCTGTGAGCTTTGTGCAGTGTGCCAGTGGCGTCCAGATTGAAGCAAGAAACCTGACTGCAGCAGCATTTACTGCTGCAGTTCAAAGATGTGGATTTCATGCAAATATAGCCTAACTGTCAAACTAGCTTGCTTAAGTAGCGCTGCCTGGCAAGCTGTGGTCTTAGAAACTCCTACACAGGTTACAAATGAGTTCTCATGAAGGTGTGATTCAACTCCGGGGGTTGCAGTTGGGTCTCCATAGGGAGGGTCTGGGGACCTGTTGACATCCTTTATCTGCAAAGAGCCACCCAGTGTTCAAGGAGGCAGCCATGAGCACTTGCCTTTTATTCCAGGAGACGGACCTGCCTGAATCTCCTGGTTGGCAGTACTGAACACAACCCTGCGTTGGCGTTTCTTGAGAGATCAAAGTGAAGCTTTTTGTTGCTGACTTGCTTGCTCCTCAAATAAATGAGCCAGGGAGGAAAAACTCTCTGAATCCATATACATTACAGTCAACAGAGGGACTTTCATGTTTGTCTTACCTCCCATGTCCCCTCGCAAAAGCCCTCAGCAAGGTCAATTGCAGGAGCTCTCTGATGCCTCAGAGCTGTGGGATGAATCACTGCTGTCCATTCCTGGCAGAAAGAGTGCTTGAGTGCATCTTGCGGGGGAATTCCTTCCCTAAAGCCCTTACCTGGCACCTGCAGTCCCTCCATGACCTGGTGCAGTCTGGCAAATGCACCAGACAGGCTGTTAGCGTGTCACTCTGCTTTATGCTTCCTCAGGGGATGCAAGGTCTTAATGTTTACTACTTTTGCTGTGCTGGTCCTTGTTCCACCATGCTAAGCTTATTAAGTAGAATAAAAAGCTTGTTTTAAAGTATTTCAGGCTGAGGTTTTGGAGGCATTTGGACAGAGAGAGTTTATGAGTCAGCTGTAAGCTACTTTGGGACAATGCTTATGCTTAGCTGTACTGGATGATTTAGAGGTGTATTTTATATGTCCCACAAAGCCTGAGGCCCAGGTTAGCCTGGGAACCGGTGACCTACGTTTCAGTTAGTACCTTTCACTCTGATAGTGGCTGTCTACAGTAAAAGGAAGTCTCAAAATGCTTATACTGTCCGTTGTGAAACACTGGAACTTCTAGTCCTGAGACTAAGTGAGGACAAATTCTTTGTGTCCTAGAAGTGGCTATTCTCCACATAAATCATAATGGACACTAGTGACTGGACTGGGAGAGAGATCTACGTGTGGCCCAATTAGTCCCATCTGCCTGCACTTGAGGTGGAAGAAGAAACATTTTTCAGACTGTTCATACACCCTGATCTGAAGTTTTCTGCCTGCAAATTCCTGTTCAGGTGTTTTTATAATACTGAAAGTGAGGAGGTGATGGTGAACATCACTCTAGAAGGCTATAAAAGATAAAAACAGCCCTTAAACAGGAATATGCTAATACAGTTTGTCAAGAGACACGTCATCAACAAAACATTGAGGAGAAGGGGAAAAAGATGGTGGGAACCCTGTGCAGCAGAGTGTAGTCTCAGGGCCCAGTCACAAAATCAAACAAAAGATCTTGTAAGAGACAATTGACAGAGCTGAAATGGGAGTCAACTACAACAGGAATCTTAGGTTTTAAACTGAGACATTTGCTTCTCCTGGAGGCAGCAGTTACTTCAGTTGATTAAAACTAAGAAAAACTGAAGCCTAATTATATATTATCTGGAAGGTTTTCTAGTCACTGGGAAAGCAAAGGAAGAACTTTATTGTTGACACAGGCACTTAGACATACCTCTTTCTGTTGTGTTCTTAAAGGGTTGGAAGTAGAGGATGGGAAACAGCCGTGAACTGGTTTGTCCATTACAGCCATGCTTTTTCTTCCTCCTCTGTGCTTCAGGCTATTTATTCTCGCTGGGAGCTTTCTGAGTTTCAGAAAGAACTTTTTTACAAATTTGAAATGCTGTTCATATTCCCTGGGTGAATTTGTGTTCCTCATTTGTGCCTGATTCTTGTTCTTTATGTGTGGCCCTCTTAGTGCTTTAGTTGCACAGCCTTAGTTAATCTGATTATCCTTAGGAAGGACTGAAGTTTTGGTTATTTTCAGAGACATGGCTATTTAGGGCTTTTCTTTTAAAGAAATTTTATCTGGATTTGGCTTGGTCTGCAAAGTTTCATTGTTCACAGAACAACTGATTGCAGTATTTCTATGAACTGCATGAAGTCTTCACCCTGCTGGGTTTTAATTAAATGCAAAATTACCCAAAGCTTAATTTGCATTTATAAGAAGTATTTTGTAATGTGTTTCAAGTTGGATGTCCTGACTCCAGCTGCTGCCACAGATGCTTTGTGCAGAGATGTGCATTCTTTTGGTGTGCACAAAACTGTCTAATATTCTGACAAAATTACTTTGCAAAATCCAAGTCCCTAGTGCAGGGTTGTGTTAATGACAGCAGTATCTATCAAGGCAGTTTAATGATGCTTAATGTTGCATTGCGGTTTTTGTTAATCTGTGGGGAAAATCACTCCTGTTTTGTTTTCCTTGCGTAGTGGCGTATTGAAGCTGATAATTTGCACAGAGAAATTAGGGTTGGAAGGGACCTCTGGTGGTCATCTCGTTCAAACTCCTGCTCAAAGCATGTTCAACTAGATCAGGTACATTTTTCCTTGTAGCCTATTTAAATTTCCCGTTTCCCAATTTGTGTCCACTGCCTCTCGTCCTTTTACTCTGCACCTCTGAGAAGAGCCTGGCTCTGCCATCTCTGCACCCTCTGACTGTAACTGTAGACATCACTAAGGTCTCCCCAGAGCCTTCTCTTCTCCAGCCTGAACAAACCTAGTTCCCTTAGGCTCCCGTGCATACTGTGCTTCAGCCCCCTGACCATCTTGGTGGCCTTCCAGCGTACTTGCCCTAGTGAGTTTATGCTTTTCTACTACTGGGGGAACTGAAACTGGGTACAGTACCCAGATACAGCCTTACCAGTGGTGAGTAGAGAAGAATAAACACTTCTTTTGACCTGCTGGCTACACTCTTGTTAATTCAGCCTCGTACACACTTGGCTTGCTTAGTCAGGCATGTTGCTGGCTCATATTCAGCTGCTTGTCCATCTCGGGTCCTTCTCTGCAGAGTTGCTCCTCAGAAGTCAACATTCAGCCTGTAGTAGAGCATGGTGTTATTCCCTCCCAGATGCTTTTGCACTGCTAATCCTCATGAGATTCGTGTCACTTCCTTTCTCCAGCTTCTCCTGGTCCCTCTGGATCACAGTCTGCATGCCAGCCTCTTGACTCTCCCCCACCTAATCCATGCATCTGCTACAAGTGCACTTCATTTCTTTGTAGTATCAGTCCCTCAGTCTCTGAGGGGTACCACTGATAACCACTTGCCAGCTGGAGTCTGTGTGGATAATCAGCTCTTTAAGCCTGGTAGCCTGGCCAGTTCTCCACCCAGATTCTCATTGTAGCATTCATTCCAAACTGCTGAGGCTGGTGGTCTTTGCTATTTGCTATTTTTGAGCTATAAAAGCTATATTCAGTCTGAGGAGCCTGGTTTTGATGCTTCATACCCTTGCAGGCATCTCTTTGGAGGTGGATATAGGTTCTCTCTTTCCACTGAAGAGCAGCTCTTGACTGTGGTGTCTTCAGTGCTCTTTCCACTGAAGAACAGCTCTGTGTTGACTGGTGGTTGACTGGCCAGCCAAAACCAGGGAGGAAGTGCAACAGGATATGATAGCCTTGTTTGAAGAGGCAGCGATACTGGGTTTTAGAGGTGGGAGAGCACTACTGTAAGCATGAATGGCTGCTCTTGGGAACAGTGATGAGTAAGAAAAGATTCTCTGTTAAATCAGAAGATACGCTAAAGTATGTAGTGTGTATTAACGCATTTGTACCCACAGGTATATGCTTATTGAGGTGCAAGATGTCTACCCTGAGGCTGATTTCTAACAGAACCTCCCAGCAGGCCTTGTCTAACTCTGATTACACCTGGGACTATGAGTACTATGAGTATGGACCGGTGTCGTTTGAAGGCCTGAAGGCTCATAAATGTAAGTACAGTAGAGACATACTTCATGGCAGCTGAGCTTCCCCTTCTTAATGTTCCTACTCTTCATTTGTAACTGATTGTTGCACAAACATATCTCCTATTTTTTTGAATTCTCAACAATTGGAGGTATTACTCTATTAGATTATTTGTTATTCTCTATGTTTTTGTTGGCTGCTTTTCTTGTGCATGAGGGAAGCATGGATTTCTTTGCTGTGGTAGAAATTTGTCAATACTGAGATTATCAGACTGTTTGGAACAGTTTATAACAGCAAATGCACCCACTGCTGCTTCTGGTGATTACTTGGTATAATCCGCATTGCTTTGTTCTGGTTCCTGCTAATGCTAAAAAGGGAGTGATGGGCATCCTTCCTGCTTTTGGGTTTTAAGGCTTTTAAAATAAAAATAAGAAAAAAAAGAAGAATTTTCTCCTTCTGAAGAAGCTTTTATCATTGGGACTTTCTTCATAGGAAGAGTATTCTAAGTTTAGCATTCTGGTAATACTGGAGCTGATTTACAGTAGAAGTAACAAGTGGAGGATGGGGACCAGAGAGATGGAAAAATCTGGGTAGGAACTGAGAGGAAATTGAGCTAGGACAAGCTACTACAGCTGGACCAACATTTATAAAAATCTAGACAATGGCTTTGGCTTTTATAATTTTTTTAATTATTATTATTTTCTTTTAGGGGGAGATGGTTGGTGGGGGAAAAACAAAAAAGGAGGGTAAAAAAAAAAGGCAACTAATTCAGAATTACTGGACCTGTGTGGGAAAATGGGGGAAATTAGAGACCACGTTCCTCAAGTCCCCCAAAGTTATAACACTAAGGAAATCTTAGGGTAAAATGCAGCTGCTCCTTCCAGCATGGAATGCTGTTGGCATGCACAGAATCTCCCCTTTTCCCCAGGCAACTCTGCAACCTTGGCATATGCCCAGAGGAACTGAACGGAGGGTGGAGCGGAGTGAAGGCCCCGTGGCCAGCCTCTGTTGTACTCCCTGCAGCAGCGGGAACTGGAAAGCACCGTGTACTGATAAACTGCAGAGCAGCTGCCAAACAAGCAAACTGGATGTATGTGTTTAAAAGCAAAGCGAGAGGAGTTCACACCCATCAATAACAAAGTGTGTGTGACTGGAGCCACTCAAGCTCCATACGCACAGAGGGGAAAAAACATTGTAACTTGTCTTACTGTGAAAAGGCCTGAACAGATACAAGGGCTTCCTACAAGGTCAGGATGAACAACACGGATGAGCAAAAAACTGAAATCAGAAAACTGCAGTGTTAAAGTCATCATTAGCCTTTGAGAAGGAGGCAGGAGAGAAACTTAGGACTGAGAAGAATAAATTTAAAACTGAAAATAATTATCTTAGAGAAGAACTACCTTGAAACTGAACCCCCTTAAAATGAAGGGGACTGTCTCAGAACTCCACTTGATCTAGCAGAACGCAGGGAGAGGCATTGTTAGCAAAGCAGTCCTCTGTTGCAATCGGGAAGATTTGCCAGTGAGTGCATTACTTGGACCCCAAGACTTGGGATGGCGAGGAGACATTTGGTGTGAAAGTGATGATGAAATCGTGGGTAACCCCTATTCGACCTCTCGTCCGGTTCCCTTGCAGGTGTTGGGTAAGACTGAGGCTGTTGTTGATAGTGATGGGGAAATTTGAACTACCCCACGTGCAGTCCCCTAGTCTGCATATTCTTATGAATCTTTTAGAACTGATAAAACTGCAGGAAGAACATTCAAAATGACCAGGGAAATCGGCAGTGGAGTCTGTGTGGCAAGTTTCCCGCACAGGGGGGACTGAATTCTGTTCAGTGAGGAGGAAGGACAAGGCTGGTGGGAACCAGGAGTGTTTCTGACAACCATGCCCAGAGATAATAATTATTCTCTAACTGTACAGGCTGCATACTGAGCAGGCAGCATAGATCCTCAGGAGAGATGAGACTCAGTGGTAATTAAAACTGTAGGCTTATTGGACTTGCCTGAGTCAGTGCAGAAGCACTGGTCCAGGGTGGGATACATACTTTCTGTCTCATTTGTCATGATAAGGATTCGGACTGGGAAAGGGAAGTGCCTGCAGTGGCCAACTGCAGCTGAGAAAGGCAGATCTCCCTTGCCTTCGCACAGTCAGGAGGTTTTGGGGGAGGCTATGTAAAGCACAGAAAAACTTATTGAAGCTATTAACACCTCTTAAAAAACTAGAGCAGAATTTCGTTTCTAGCCTGAATTGTACTTTATCACCCCCCTAAAAATTCTGCTGATTACAGTCTGTATTTTTACAAATGTTAGGAACTTGAGAAATGTAGGTTAGCTTTTATCACATTTCTAATTTATATTCCGTCCTTCCACTTAATCAGAGGCCAAACCTGATTACAAAGATTACTGATTACAAAGATTAGCTGCAGCGCTTTGTACATTCCTTCCTCTTTAGCTAGGTGTGCCAAAGATTGCGATGGGACTGAAAAATACAAGTGATAGTTCCTGCTGGATTGCGGAAGGATAGCAGCAAAACAGGTCTTGGATTGCCACTGAAGTAATTGCCCTGCTAAGTGTGGCAGCTCATTGCTGTCTTCGCTCACTCTTGACAACTCTTACTAGAGAATGGGACAGATGAAATAACCTCTTTTCAGGTGGAGCTTGATGTACTTATGAAAGAGGTTAATAGTAGTATTGAATCAGTGATCTAGGAACCTAGGAAGTCCCTTTTTCTTTTTTTCTTTTTTTTCTTTTTTTCAATTCTTTTTTTTAACTGATAGATTGGACTTGGCTCTTTTCACCTTGATGTTACTTCATGCATTCTCAGGGGGCTGAGTTTTATCCAGTAAAGCACTGTAATTTACACTGGAGAGTTTAAAGGGGAGTGGACTCTAGGTGATGCAGGCTGGCTGTGACACTTGGTCAGCTGTAAATCATCACTGTCCCTTGTTAAAATTAGAGGGGTGTAACCCCCTTAAAGAGAGGTGGGTTTTTTAATTATTATGTATTTATGATACACAAGATATTTTACACAAAAGAGAGGTTACTGTTTTGAACCATAATGTAAGATGAGTTACACAAGAGAAAGTTGGAGGCCACTTTTGGCTTACCGTTGGCTTAATTAATTGAAGGCAGGGGCAGGTTCCTCCTAATTCAATGTATGTACAAAGGAATACAGAAACTTGTTTTTTGAGAAACAATTATGCAGAGACCTGTGAAGACAAATATTGACAAAACAACCTAATACACAAAAGTATATTTCTTAAGAACGACAATGAGGTGCTGAGGTGCCACACTGACTTTTCAAATACTTGACTGCAAAGAAGAAAAAAAAAAGCTGATTTACCAGTGAAAAGTGTGTCCTTTGCCTGAAGAGGAGTGAAGGCAGGAACTAGGTTTTGTAAATTACAGCTTTAGAAAGTAAATAGATAAAGATAGCCAGGAGACACCTGTGACTGGGCAGAGATAAGAAGGAAATCCTTTTTTTTATGCCTTTGGAACAGAGGAAACCTCAGTAACATTAAAGGGAAGTAAACCAGGTAGGAATGGTCCGGGGAGTCAGAACTGCCGCCAATCTATTTATAACTTGAGACAGTATTAGAAATGTAGTCCTACGTACCATATATTTTGAATGTAAATGTTGTGTTATGTACGGTTTTATTTTGAACAAAGGTTTAGAAGTTAGTAGGTTTGGATAATTTGCACTTAAATGAAATACAGAAGAGAACTCGGGCCACCTGCTTTGATTTTAAACAAATCCAAACCATGTAACTGATACAGCAGAGGTCTGCAAATGCCTCAGGAGCCTCAACAGGGCAAGGAAGATGTAGCCTTAGGCTCAGTAAATTTAGCAATCCTGCTGGGGAGGAACACCAAACAAATGACAAGACAGGCTGTTGTTATTCACCACACACTGCTGGCAGGTGTGAGTTTTGTGGGGAGTAGAAGTTTATCAGAATCTTGATTGTATTATTTTCTCATTGTTTGCTTTGTTCTGGGACCTTTTTCCTTTTTTTTTTTTCTTTTTTTTTTTTTTTTGTGAGTGTGTGTGTGGTTTTTTCCATCAGTTGATGAGTTTTTGCGGCTTGATCTCTGTGCATGTTTTTTGAACATCTTACTCGATCAGACTTTGCATTCAGGTTATCAATGCAGCTGCATATCACTGAAGCATGTCTGACTAATTGGTAGGTACTAGTGGCTGTAAGTGGTAAATTTCTTTTTAATGTGACTATTTCTTTTTAGATGAAATTTTCAGGTACTGTAACTGTGAGATATTGTGTCTTAGTAGGGACAAACACAAGATGCATCTTGAGCTACTGAATTCAGACTATGCTGATAGAATGATTCTGAGAATAATGTAGGGCTCATAATGCACAGAATCACATAAATAAACTCGTAGCAGTATGCTTCAAGCAAAAAAGGAGCATTACAAACTCCCTGCCCCTCCCCATCATGGAGACGTATACTTGAACCACCCTCTAAGAGGGGTAGATGTGGCAGAGGAGAGATGGAATAAGCGTTGCAGTGAGAGACTTGAAACTTAATCCCTTCCTTTACTGGTAAAATAAGGAGATTAAGGAGTGATTCATGATGAAGTATTTTCACAGAGAGAAAATCTCAAGTCGCAGCAGGCACTTGGGCTTTACAGAGAAAGAGCAAATGGTTTGAATTCATTTCCAGTGTACAGAGCTGCCTTTTAGCATGGAAGATATTTCATAGTGGGAGAGTGATTAACTGTTGGGGTCAAGCACCGGCAGAATAGCTGATTCCTTGTCTTCTGGTGTCTTTAGCAAGCCCTGTAGGAGATTCTACAGGCTGGCTAGAGTTCTATGCTCTGCCTGCTGCACTGGATCGTGTACCTTTACAGCCAGCATGGATCTCTGAGGTTCAGTAGTAGCTGTGTAATGAGAGGTTAAGGGTAGATTGGATACTTGTCCTGACCAAGGCTTCCCTCTTACATGTTTGTGTCAGGGTTTTTTTAATTTCTACAGTGGAAGTTTTGAATATTTGCATAAACAAAAAATAACTAACTGAAACAACAGTTGAAAAAGTACCTGTATAATGTGGGTCCTGGACCAGATTATATTTTGGGTTAGTGCTCTGTAACTTTGGGCCATGCTCATCAGTTGATTGCTATTTGTTGAGACAAATGTGCTTGTCTCACTTGCACCTTTCCGTCAAGTTCATGGAAGCTTTGAGCTTCCTTCAGGAGCAACCGTGGATCAACTTTGAAGTCGTAAATGGACACAGATTTATTGTAAGTTGGACTGGTGATTTGTCTATGGGTCCATTTGCTATAGATGAGAACAGCAGGTACATTTTATGCACACAGGCAAAAAGCCATGCTCTTTCTAATTGTTTCTATATTTGGCTATTGCTTGGTGCCTTCCTCTTAACTAATTGGTTGTTTGACTTTTTTATCCAAATCCATTTGGCTCTCCTGACATTGTATTGCAGTTTTCTGTATGCAAGTTGGGTCCCAAATTAAAAATTATTAAAAAAAAGTCTTGTATATGGTGTTATTGGTATTTATTGAGGTAGCAAATAGTTTTATCTGTGGTTGTTTGTTTCAGAACCCACTATCTCACAGCTGAAAGAAAGGTAGATCTTCCTAGAACTATTGTGTCAAAGAAATCCATCAAACACCAGAGACCTAGTGGTCTGGGGTACAAATAATTTATATCGGCAGGAGTTCACTTCTAGAGGGACAGAGGGTTTTGCTGAAAATCAAATAATCCTCCCTTCCAGGTTCTAGCACTGCAGTTGTTTCTAAAGCAATGCTTGGAAATGGGCCAGGCATCAACAAAGGGAGCTGCTCTTATTTTACTAATAAACGGAACACAGTGTCTTTCCTCTTTCAGCTTGCTTCTGGTTTGTCCAGACATCGGTAACATTTGGGCTCGAAATGAAAAGCTTCAATGGCAGCTTTCTGTTTAAAAATAGATGACAATGAATCTGATCATCCTTCCTTTTTGCCACCCAGGAATAAGCTGCAAAGTCTTTTGAGATTTGCACTCCTGCTGCATGTAGAAGGAAACTTTCTGCAAGTGGAGGTGAAATACTGATCATCTTGTTTTCTCTTTTTCACCAGATTCCATTGTGATTGGATTTTGGGTTGGTCTTGCGGTTTTTGTCATCTTCATGTTTTTTGTCCTGACCCTGCTGACGAAGACAGGAGCACCACACCAAGAGTGAGTCTGAAAACTGGAATAACGAATCCAGCCTGCTAACTAGTGTGTGTGTTCTCAGCACCATCCCGTTCTAGTTTGTTCTTACAAAAGGGTGCTGTCTGTCTTTGTTCCCAGCCCTTCTCGGGGATTAACTCTGTAGAATTGTTATTAATGAGTTCTCTATTTAGCAACTAGTCAGTAGGCATACAGTGAGAGAAGGGAATAGCTGCATGTCTACGTTTTCGTGCTAAAAGGAAGTTGGTGGGTAGGCTGCCAAACAGATGGTTTTGAATTACTGGTCTGCAGATAAATGGGAACATTTTAGGTAGGCTGATGTTATGATGGAGTGAAGCAGAGAAATGTGAATCTTGACAAAGTATATACAAATAATATACAAGGCAGATGTTAAGGAAGTTGCAGTCTGGCAGGCTTACATGTTTGTGTGCTCAAGGCCAAAAGGTAGGCATTGGTAGTGTTTACAAAATCTTCCCTTAACCCTGTGGCTCCCCTACTCTCAGAGTGTCTTAGTTTCTGCTTAGAAAGTCCAGTAGATGTTAAAGTACAGATCAGCTCCACATTCTGTTTACACCAGGATCCCCTGAAAGTCACAAACTAATCTTATTTTTTTTTCTTCTTGCTCTTTCTGGCTGATAAGTATGTGCAGCCTGTGCCTTGCCTTGGCCATTTATCTGCATTTGCACAGCACGCAGGCTGTCACTGGCCCTTCCTCTGAGAAAGTTTAAACCCACATCTTCTCTCAGACTGGTGTGCCATAAAGCAGAAGTAAAAAGCCTCTCTGGAGAGCGAGAGTGGCTGCAGGCAGGTAGCAATGATGAGAAGCTGATTGTGAAAGGCAATTGTTAGTGCTTATCACTTTCTAAAGCAGCCTGTCTATCTCTGCCTACTGAAGGCCCTTTGCTATTTAGTCATATGTAGACTGGCTCTCAAGCTTCGTATAATCGCACATCTCTGGACACAGGGCCATATTAGAGAGGACATAAATATATTGTGACCCTCTTCTGTGCTTCTGAGGTTTTGCTTCTATTAGAAGGAAATACAGGCAGAAGAATTCAGCTTTCCAGAACTGACTTTCTAGCTTTTTTGCCTCCCTTACGGACTATCATAAAGTTGTCAGACCTTGGTCCCAAATGTATTTAAAGTCCTTCTAAGTGCTGGTGTGCTGCCCCTTTTCCCTGGAGAGCTTGTTTCTTAGCGGAGCATCTGAGTCTCTATCCCACCTGAATTTGAAAGAGGAGGAAGTGTTGAAGTCAAATACACAACAAAGGATTTAACATGGATATTTGTCAAAAGTTTGTACGCTTGTAAAAATGTACTTTAAGGTAGCAGAGGCCTGCTTGGTATGTCCCACTGTTCTGCTTTCTTCATCAGTTTTCTTGGAACAGGTTGCCTAGAAAGCTTGTGAAATCTCCATTTTTGGTCCCCTTCTACATCCAGATAACCTGACCTGGATTCAGAGTTGGCCTTGCCTTCATCAGGGCATTAGGCTACAGACATCTGCAAGTCCCTTCCAAGCTAAATTTTAATGTAATTAATTTTTCTTCAGTTGCTGCAGAGAGTCCAGTTACTCCTTTCTGTATTTGTTTTGAACTTCTTTGCAGCTTTGGGAGCTGTGTGCTTCAATGTTTGCCTGTTCACTATGTGTGCTGAATTGGCACCTTTAACAAATTTGAGCACTATTTTTTTTGAGATTTAATAACCAAATGTGTATAGTACTGGAAATATATCATCCAGGAATATGCTAAGGGAAGTGAACACCGTTGTTTCCTCTTATTTTTGATGCATGTATATAAAAACTGGAACATAAATACGTACCTGCAGAACCAGTACAGACTGTGGGTTTAGTTTGCTTTCACCTTCTGTCTTTATACCTGACTGGATTCTTCATGACTCATCGTTTCATTAGTGGGCTGTCTTGCAGCCCTCCTTTAGAAATAGATGTTAATGGGATTCCTAGGTCTTGGGAGAAAGCCAGCCTGATTGATGGATGTGTCTCTGACTTCAGTTAAGTCAATTTGGCTGTTCTTTAAAGTACCATTAACGTGAGAAGTAAGTGTAACTGGGTTCACATGGCTGGATCCAAAGTAGAATACTCTGATTTCTCTAATAGTATGCTTTTCTTGGCTCAGTATAAAGGGGCACAATAGCATGTACTTATCAAAACTGTACAAGATGTTCAGCACTGGGTACAGCCTCAGACCAGAGGAAAAGGGTCAGGATATGGATGGTGAGAGGTAGAAAGTTAGTTAGTTGTGGAAATGATGCCTGTTGCACTTTTGTTTGCTTGCACATTAGTACGTGTAGAGCATTCGCTTGTGCAGCAAAAAAATTGTTGACAGTCTTCCTGAATTTCTGCCTGAAAAGTACTCTCATTCATCACTCAGGAGAAGATTGTTTGTTTCTGTCTTTAAAAACATCCTTACAAACACAATGTGCAACAAACGCATGTGTTCATGTACTCTCTCTGTACAAAACCCAAATATTGGCTGATGCAACCTCAAAGCTTCACGCAGCTGTTGAGGCAGGTTTTACAACTAGTTGCAGTAAAAGGTGAAATGGCTGGTAATAGTTTTTAAGAAATCAGCTGATTTTGGTTAAGGATCTTTTAGTTCCCTTTGAGATGCCAAACAGTGCTATTTGGGGGAATTGGCTACTTACTCCTTTCCATGGTTTGCCAAGTACCCCAGGTCACTTCAGGAGGTGTTTAGGGAACGGCTGTTTAAGCTATAGAGGCATCTCAAGCATCAGTCCTAAACCAGTATGCACCTGTTAGAGGGGTATACTGGGCAAAATGGTCTGTACTCTGACGGTGCACTCAAGTCCAGTGGGCAGAATCCAGAGCCTAATACTGAATCCAGCAGACCAGAACCCAGCATCATAGGCTGGAAGTTTCCCAGGAAAGGAGCTTGTGTTAGCTCATGGGCACTGCTTGTTTTGAGTGCTTTTGTGTATGTATGATGCTCGAGGTGTCTGGCATTCACCTTCCTGCTCCCTTGTGGGCAGCTTTTGGGACTCAGAAGGTCCCATTGGCCCAAATTTTGCAAAAGGGATTTTACTGTCCAGGAGGCTGTGCTCCTTTCCACAGTAAAGCTGGGATTTCTGAGGCTGCTTTTCTTATTTTGAGTGTTCTGAAAAGATACACACTGAGGTATACTTGCATGCTGTAATGAGCAAGACTACAATTCCTCCCAAATACAGAAAGATAGTGTTTGTGAATTTCAGAATCCACCACTGTGGATTAGACCATGTGTTCCCCACTCATGAGCACAGGATTAGTCTCTATTTTATGTCCTTAACAGTATGGTCATTATAAAATTTCTTTGCATCTTCCATTTAGATTAGGTTGCCACTGCCAGTCCTGTGTGCCCCTCGTACAGTCAGCCTTTGTTCCCTCCTAGCTCACTGGTTTATAACGTACTTTCCACACTTAGGAACTAGTTTTACTTCTGTAATGGATGCATTTTAAGCTTTCTTCCAAAGCTGCTTCTTCCTAGGCTGTTATCCTCTTTCAGTGCTTATTTGCCACCTCCACTGTCCGTGCCATACTACTATGTAGAAACTCTTAGACAGATTTGCAAAACCATATATGCCACTTAAATTTGGAATGGTGCTTTCTGTTGCATTATAAATACACAAATGATAGTCGTCAGTTCTGAAGGCTACCACAGTATTATTCCAGTCTGTTTGCCTCCCAGTGTGCATGCAGCAGACTAGCACTTGGTTACTGGTCTGTTTTGAATCAATTTAAATGTTATGTTTCTATATGTTTCCCTTTGAAATGCAGAATGAGCCATTACAGTTTTGACAAACTGAAAGACTGTTCTGATTTAAAGGCTAGTGTAGCTGATTTTGTTGGGACAGAATTCTTGTTTTATGTGATGGAAGTAAATTAGAATGTTTAACTATGACTGAAAGACTGAAAGGTTTTCAGAGTAGATTTCTGAAGGTGCCATCTGAGCCTTTCAAAAGCACGTAGGCACTTACCTCCTACTGCAGGCTCGAGGGAATTAAATGATGGTGTTCCTCTGAAAATACATGTAACTGCTGTGTGCACTTAAGTGTCCAACTATCTGGCTCCAGTGTCATTTGCTAGGAGTTCACATGTAAACAGTGTGATTTATTAATTCTTACTTAACAATTCTTACTTAGCTTTTATTCTGAGAATCTTTATAGAGTTTTCACTACTCATCCTCTGAATACCTCTACTGCCTTTCAGATGCAAATAACTTGCATTTTGTGATGACAGCATATAAATTCAGCCTGACAAAGAATACATTACTATCTGTAAAACATCCAGCATGAGCGTACCTCACCCCCAGCTGTTTATGGCTCCTGCACAAGTCCATGCAGATCAGAGCTGGTTTAAGCTAGTGCTCCTAGAAAACTCCAAGCGAGGCGTTACTATGCCCTTCCTGGCCTATATGTCTGAACTGTTAAGACTGCCAGACTTTACAGCAGTCTTTAGTTCCAGCTCTCCTCATTTGGAAATCACTGACTGAAGTCAGTGAAAGGGATAGTTTGATGTCCAGACAACCAAACACTCAAATTACACCTTTAGTGACAGCACTGCTGCCTGTGTCTCAGATTTTTTTTCCTCAAAGGTATTCTATAAGCCATCCTAAACAATCTGTTACTACTTGGTATCAAAAGGAAGTACTGGAGAGTATTTCTAAGCTCATTTAGTGAGCTCGTTATAACAGTATATTGATTATTAGAAGTGCCATTTAAGAGTGCTGGTGTTAACTTATTCCCATGGAAAATTATCATGACAAATCAAGACTTAAAATAACTTAAGCAGAAAATAGTAAATAGTGCTGGCTTTTACAGTCTGTGTCAGACAAACTGTAGGGTTTTCTTCCTTCCTGATCATAATGATTGCTGAAAGCAAATTTGCTGTTAAGAACTTGAATAGTTTACTTTTTGTGCTTACTGTATTTCTTTCTTTGCTCCCTAGCAATGCAGAACCTTCTGGAAAAAGATTTCGCATGAATAGCTTTGTGGCAGATTTTGGAAGGCCTCTGGAGTCGGAGAGGGTCTTTTCTCATCAAATAGCTGAAGAATCCCAGTCACTTTTCCATTTCTGTATTAATGAAGTGGAACATTTGGACAAAGCAAAACAAAATCAGAAAGGTCCAGGTCTGGAGAGTAATACCCACTTCCAGGAAGCTCCTAAGAGCAGTGGTATGTTTGAGGAAGACCTACATTGTCTTACAAAATTTAACATTCCTAACTTTGTGAACGCTGAGCAGAACTCTTCACTAGGTGAGGATGATCTCCTCATCTCGGAGCCACCAATCATTTCAGACAGCAGATCAGTCATGCAATCATCCCATCGGATCCGTGACTGAAAAGACTTTTACTTTAAGATAAACATTCCTGTTACTCTCCAGTTTGAAGCCTTTCATGGACTTCTGGTATTTTGATAGAAGGTATTTCAGACCTGTGCTTTTTATTGTATCTAAGACTGGCTGTGCTGAGACACCTCAGTTTAGGTAAGAAGTAAAACACTGAAAACTTTATTCAGATGCCTTCTGTGGACTGAACCTTTTGCCCACAATGGTTTGGGCTGAAAGAGACCCTTTAAGATCATCTGGTTCCAATGGATAGGGATATCTTCCACTAGACCAATCTCTGTAAGGCCCCATCCAACCTGGCCTTGAACACTTCCAGGGATGGGGCATCCACAGCTTCTCTGGGCAACCTGTGCCAGTGCCTCACCAACCTCACAGTAAAGAACTTCTTTCTAATATCTAATCTAAATCTACCTTCTTCTAGTTTAAAGCAAATCCCACTTGTCCTGTCACTACATGCCCCTATGTCCAAGGGTGTTCTGAAGGGTACCACCATGATTTGTAGGGAGTGTAAAGGCTGTAGCCTGGCACTGGGAGGTGTAGGAAAACTGCTCATTCAAGAAAAGTGTAAACCTTGAATTAAAACTGAAGCAAGGAATAAGTAGGCAGTCCCTGGGGAAGTTCTGCAGCTTCTGTCTCTCCCAAAAAAGGACACCTGAAACTGAGCAGCACAGTGGGTATCTGCTTGGAATTAACTTCAATTTCTGAGTGTTTACAAAATGCTATCACCACCCGCTGCTGAGGAAAAGCAAATTGGTACTATAATTATAGTACTTCAGAGGGACATTCTGACAGCTGCCCAGTGATAACCTGGAATTAGTATCCTACACACAAACAGTAATTCGACTTTTTTGGTTTTTATTTAATTGCTGATGTGAACTTCCAGATTGGCGAGTCCAGGATTCAGTAGCTAAATCACAGGAAATCAGATAATACCTATTCCTCTTCTGCAAATAGAGTTGCTGTATGCAAATAAATGGCAGTGGTGTATTAAGTTGGTGTTATGCTTTGCTTATAAGCTGAACCTTCCTGTGCTTTTCAGCTCCATCAATGGCCCTTTCTTGACTAGTGGACCAGCGGAGGGCTAGCAGGTGTGCAGTTGTGGAGAGGACCAGCTCCAAAAGCATGGCTGAGCTGCACTTGCTGCATCTTTTTCTTGTACTCAGTTGGGATGGTGTTGCAACCACAGCTTTTCTCCCAGGAAAAGCTTTGTTAAGGAATTGAATAGGTGTAACTTCGACCTTTATATTTTTTAGACAAGTAATAAGGTTCTGAACTTTCACCAGAACTTACATTACATTTAGCTTTCTTTAAAAAATTGTAACTAATGGCTAAATGGTTTTAGAGCAAGCACATAGGATGCTGAGGAACCAGGTTTAAGTGCTTTGCTGGATTTGGAGTAAGAGTGCTCTGCAGGAAGTTATTAACCAAAATGAAGCTAGGGGATCCAAGATACTGTGCCTAACTGGGTTTTCTTGAAACCAACTTGCTTTGTATACAACATGTTTGAGTGAAAATGTAGGAATGGCCTGCTGGTGTGTTCTTCAGACACTTAAATGCTTTCAATCATTGAGCATTCATTTCATAAAATCATTTCATTCTTTCTTCACCTCACAAAGAGAATAAATAGTGAATGGCTTGTGCATTCAAGGAATACAAAGACTGGGGAAACCTCTTTTGTTTTTTACCTCCTGTGTTTTATAAACCACTTACTTACACCTAAATTTCCTATTTTCAAATGTAATTCTTATAGTACTTCTTAGTGTTTAAAGTAATGGGATTATACCCAAAGCAGAGACTGTTTGTTTAAAACCAACAGATTACTGTTGAAAGTAGTTCCCAAGAGGAGACTGAAGTGATCCCTGTTACAAATAAGCATAGCTGCATGGGTTACAATCTTTAGGTGCAGAAAAGGCCTCCTTTTACAGTAAGTACTTAACTGCAAGTATGAAGGCTGTAGCTGTGAAAGTTCCTTGTCTCTTCCCAAATTAAGAAATTGCTTGCTGTTCCCAGTCGGCTAACCTAAGATTTTCTTCTTAAAATTGTTGTGGCCTTTGTTTGGGTGCATAACTGATACTTTGGGAGAAAGAAGTCTTCATGTGAATGGATGCTGGTGACAGTTAACACCCAGCTGAAAGGTATTTATAAAAATGATCAAGGGATAAGGCCAACTTATCCTAGCACACATTTGAATTGTATTCTTAGTGTTGTCACTGAAACCTAGGAAATAACCTCTCTAACCAGAATGACAGGTTAGAAAGTCGACATTACTTTGTTGTGGCACTGGATGCATGGGGGATCACCCCAAGAAGAGACAGTTTACAGCTTATTTATCTTCATTATATACATATTCATCATAACTCTGTGACATGCCCACCCAATTCTTGTTACTCATACATATGGTAATTTGGGTAGGCTGTGGCGCAGGAGCTGTGACTTTGAGGAGTGGTCTCTGGGGGTTGTGGTGGTCCTCTGGGGAGAAGTACCTCTCCTTATTTTAGCCTTTTATGGAAATCTGTTAGTTGAGGACATCAGAATGCATGTTTAGCCTTGCCAGTTAACTAGATGTTCTTGTTTGGTCTAATTTGCAACCCTGAGAGGCTCCTTGAGTTGTTTTCTTTTGCTGCTGTTTACCTATCTCTCAGGCCTTATCAACAGATGGAAGGCCTACGCTGGTTTGAGAGAAGACATCTGGTCCTTGTGTTGCATGCCTTCCTTATCTTGAGAATCCTTGTAGCCTTGTTCATGTCTAAGTCTATATACACTGGAATACTGATTTAAGAATTCTTGTAGCCCTGTCTAAGTCTCTATATACAGTTAACTATATACTAGTTTAATTCGGTATCTGTGTCCTTCTAAAGCATGTGTTAATCCTCTACAGGTATTCAAGTCTTTGGTTCCTGCTTCTGTTCTTCCACTTTTTCCATCTATCTCCATCCCTTCTATCTCTGAAGTCCTTCACGGTGCTTTTTACAGAAAAATAACCTGGTAGTCCTCACTGCACAGCTCCTGCATGACTTCAGAAGCACTGAGGCAGCAACACAGTCCGATTCACCGTTTTTGCTCTGCCTGTGCATTAGGGCAGAGTCAAAGGCAAATGCAGAAACTTTCTGCAGTGTTCAAAAGCAGTTATTTTAAAGCTTGCTCTTTCTTTTTCCTTTTAGAACTAATAGACATGATGTTTTGCCTCAGCAGCTAAGGGGAGTGTAATAACCAACTTTGTATAATGTGTTAAAGTTACCTTTTCCCAGAAAACCACCATGAGCTGGCTCACCATGAAGTGAATAGAAAGTGTTTTGATCAGGGTAATCCTTCAAAAGGAGTGCTTGGAATTTAATGGTGTTTTCAAATGGAGGTGTTGCAAGTTTTCCTACTGCATGGGCTGTCTGTTTCAGAGCCTCTTCTGAAAACCCACTGTAAATGCATCTCCTGTGGTAGATTTAACTTCACAGGGAGTTCCCCTAAGATAACTACAAACGTTTGTGTAAAAAAATGTATTCCGTTCTATAAGAACCTATTAGGTCAAGCTATGTATTCCAGTTTTCAAAGCTAAATATTTGTGAAATGTTCTTCTGTGTAAAAAAGTTTTAGTTCTGTACCTTCAAAACAAACAACACAACCTACAATGTAAAATCAGAAGCTGCCTGCTCAGTAGAGGAGAGAAAGGGAAAGGTAAACCCATGCACTTTACTACAGTCTAATGATATACAGTCTCTGAAACTAAAAGGTGAAGTAAATGATGAGTATTTGTCATACAATTCAGTATTTATGCACCTTCACATTAGATTTTTTTGCCACTCTGTGAGTAAAAGAATGCCCCAAGCTCCTTCAGAAGCCACTGGCAAAGGAGGAGGTCAAGAATGCATACCCCCCTACTATGCCCTCTCCTTCAGTGAAGGATGACAAAGCAAAATAGAACAACTGGAGATACTGCAGAGCTGGACTGAACTTAATTTGGCAGCCTTGGATATTGCCAGGCAGCAAGGAGAGCACAGAGCCACCACGCAGCCTTTTACCACACATTCTTCAACACAAGCAAGAGTTGGAGGCCTGTGCTTTCTCATTTTTAAACAAGAGGTGAGTAGGTAGGTAGCTGTATGAAAGGCTAAACATGTTGCAATTCACACTTATCAGAAGACTTCCTGTTCCAAAGAGTCAGGGCAGCACTTGATGCGCAATCCCCTTCCCCCCAGAACTGGATTTGCACAGCTTGTCCTAGTACGCAGACCCTATTCTCTTTTTTTTTTCCAGAATAGGTCTACGGGATAGACTTCAAAATGTATTATGTACTAGGAAATAGCCTTCATCTACGATAACCTATTTGATTTGTTAAATGAACAATTTTGACATGTATTTCAGAGAACTCGAAATAGAACTGCTTATGTCTCTGCCACAAGTGCTGTGCTCCTCTGCACACCCTGTTCTCTCTCAAAGCAGATGTCTTTTCTGTAATGTAGGTCACTGAGTCACCCCGACAGCTGCTCACTTCATTTCCTACAGCTTCAAACATGACAATTCAAATTATTGTATGCCAGCTGCTTTGCTATAAACAAATGAATTCCAGCTAAATATAAGGCAATGAGTCAAAGAAATTATCTTTAAGATTCTTTTAATCCATCCATTATAATGGCCCCTGGAAATGCATAACGAAATAGCATAGCATAAGAAGAGGAAAAACATACACAAAGCAGTACAGAATTATGTTACTCGGAGATCCCACTGAATTCTTCACCGGAATATGGTAAAAGCCAGTGGCCTGGTTTTGCTCTGTTTCAGGGTATGTTCCAGGCTGCTGGGGAGTCATAAACTCATAACTTCAGCAGAGAAGTTAAAATTTGGACCTAAATTCTCCAAAAAGAAGCCATTACTACAGCTGCTCAAGACCAGAGGTAGTCTGTTACTGTGTAGAGCACCCACTTCATGGGAAATGCCTGAAAAATAAAGACCATGTAGTGTACAACTACATAAATACATGTGAGAACACAGTATGACCATATTATAGCTTATAGAAATGGCCAATAATACTGTCCCTGCTCAGTAAAATAGACTAGGAGAGATAATTTAATTTGAAGTTTAATTCATGTGAGAACAGGAAGGCAATGGATTACATGTTTGGAGAGAGAATTTCCAGCAACCAGAAATGCTCCCCCTGGGCCTTTCCATCCCAGACAGCCCCACCTGTAATTAAAAATACTTCACTTCAGGTCACCCACTTTAATACAGTGCTACACCAGTGGCAAATCGTACAGGAAAAATGTTAAGTTGAAATGATTCAATTTTATCCTTTTCATTTGCAATACAATCCAAAAATCAAGAACACACAGCATATTTACACATAGCTGATATATACAAAGCACTATTGTATTTACACATTTTATGAATTACAGACTAATACTGCATCACTGGGGGACAAAATATCCTCACTAAAAAACCTGAAAATACCTGTACATGAAACAACCAAGATTGACATTAATTGCCAACTATCTTTTTTTATATTTATAGGTGTGTATTCACTCTCACTTATGTTTGTATGTGTATATGCTTGAGAAGAAAATCCTTGCACTATTACTGCCAGTGTCTCCACAGTGTTACACTGTTTTGTCCTTTGTGCCTGCTCAGTCACATGCTTGTATAAACCAAACCATGTTTACTGCTGCTCCCTGAAGAAGCACAACATGTAGATATATAGTCACAGACCTGAACTATTTCCAGTAGTAGAAAGTGCAATACATTCTGAAGAGTACATTCTAGCTTTTATCTTGTCATTGTCCTAAATAAGGGTAGTTGACTGAGCTACAACCTCAGTATTTGTGCTATGGAACTCTTAAGGACTTGCACTGCTGAGACTTCAAACTAGTAATTTACTGATTTGTCTGCAAAACTGTCTTTCCAGCCACCAAAAGCCAGCTAGCTTAAGTTTTCTTTAATTTGTCTTAATGCTTCTTTTATCCTTTTTAGCAGCAGGCTGGCCTCTTTGTTCTGTCAAGATCATCAATAAAGTTACTACTGCCTCGGACCCAGAACAGCCCATTGTAAAAATTGTACTCCATACAGCTTTCCCTTCTAAAAAGGATACCAATAACTACTCTCGCTGTATTTTATAGGCTTTTTTTGGTATCTGTCCCATAACAACTCAGCTAGATCACTTACTTTGCCATCATGCTTACCAGCACAGTTGGAAATTTGTGAAAAATAGACAAAGAATAATTTGAATCTGAGCACCGCCAGCAAATGCCTGCTCTGCTCCAACCTGCCAACTATTCACAAAGTTGAAAGTGGTTTTAAAGATAAGGGAAGGAATGTTTCATGAACTGGAGGAAGAGAAACAAAGTTTTGGGAAAAGAGCATTTTCATGCCCTAATGAGTGAAAAATAGTAACTCTATACACTAAAAACGCAAGCCAAACAGCATATTACATTGTTCACAGAGGAATCATTTAACAAAAGTTCAAAATATTCAGGAATGTTCTACAGTATCTGAAAAAAGCATCAACTGGAATTTTTCAGTGGTCATCAAATCTATGGAATAACCTCAATATTCCTAATATTTTTTAAAAATGGCATGTAACTTTATTGCTAACACAGTATGACATACAACTGGGGTGCTGCTCAAGGCAAATCTACCTTTGGACAAGCAAGATTTCAGATAAGGTCAGAATGTAATTCAATTTACAAGTGTTACATTAATGATTGTCAGTAATATCTTCTATACATAACTTTGAATATTAAAATTCTACTTCTCTAATCAACTCCTACCTAATTACATCTTCCAACAGCTGTCTGGCACGCTGAATCCACTGGAATTAGGTGCAGGAATAACAACCCCTTGTTTCTGCAGTTCACGTAAAACATCTAATATTGAATCCAGTTCCACCCGAAACCTCTCCAGTTCCTGGTTCTTCCGCTGTGCCAGCCTTCGCCACTTCTCCACCTCCTGCGTTTGCCTCGCTTCAGCAACATGTTGTGATAATTGGGTTGCCTGCACAAGAGAAGCAAGTCAGCACTGTGACTTCCTAGTCAACTACAATGCCCCATCCCTGGCAGTGTTCAAGGCCAGACTGGACAGGGCCTTGAGCAACCTGGTCTAGTGGGAGGTGTCCCTGCCCATGGAACTAGATGATCTTAAGGTCCTTTCCAACCCAAACAAACCATTCTGTGATTCTACTCTGCCAGCGCTGCCCCTTTGCAAAAATACGCTACTCCATTACATTTGATGCTCAGTCTCAAAGCCCAGCGCTCACATTAACTAAGTGGAAATAACTTGTTCTGTATATTAGAAAAATCATCCTGAATTTAAATAGCTGCATTAATGACAGAAAGGTAGAATCCATTAGTGGGTAATGAGCCCCAAGAAAATTTAACTTACCCTGTCCAAAGCAGCAATTAAAAGCTTAACTAAGACAAAGCTGAGCGTGTAATAACCTCCCTGTAGTCAAAAATGAGTCTTAAGTTGCCATTTAAAAGCGTTAATTAAAAGAATACTCTGAAAGAGCATCTGAATGACATATTCTAGGCTACTAGTGCACTTTTAAAAACATCAAGTTCTACAAATTATCAGAAAATATCCTGTAGTCACAAAAGTCTGAAACTCCTGCAGATAAAAAGTTTGCATTTATTTTGACATGAATCCATAACATAATCCTATTGAATTACTATAAAAAGTGTTACAGGGTATCAAAATCTTCACACCACTACTAATTGTAACAGATTCTGTAAAGAAAGCTGGATCAACTTAAAGGCTGTAATTAATGTATTTGTAGTTTGATGCTCAGGATCATTTGTTATTTCCTTGTTCAGCAATTACTTTTTCTACACTGTTTGTTTCCTTATCCTTCATCTGGGGGAATGTTGGGTGCTCCACTGCGGATGAGTAAAGATGCAAAACTAGGACTAACAAAACTCAAAGTTTAATACATAACAAGGCAGGTAGCAGGAAAGACAACATTATGTAGCAGTAACTGTTGTGTATACTACTATTTTTATGAAATACATTACAACATATCTTAGTAAATACTATAGGTCAGGCAATTAATTCAATGGAAACAGATCATGGATAAGGCAGCAGCAGACACTATACAGAAATGGTAATACAAAAGCAAATAAATAGCATAAAAAAGTAACTATATTACAGTTGCCTTTAGCAGGACAGAACGTGAACAGAAATAATAAAATCATCAGTGGTGGCAGGGTTTGTTCTTAATCCAACAATTTATGCACAGCTCTTTTTTGAAAGCAAATTAAGTACTTGATGCAAAAATGTATGAGAAAAAAAGCCTTCTACCATGAACAATTCTGTACATAGAAGTGTATTCCTTCAGATCTGGTTTCAAAACTCTAGAACAAACTCCACAAACTAAGAACTAACTACAAACTAACTACAGTTTTGATGATCTTCCAGTCCAACTGCCCTTCTTTGAGTTCATATTATTTCAGTAAACCCAAAGTTAAAGCACCTACAAAAGACAATCATATATTTAAGTCATGGAAGTGTTGAGAAAAAAAAATTCTATATGAACCAGAGAACTGTTTCCAGATGATTGACAGATGAAAAATCAGGATGGAGGCCATAACAATATAAGATGGGGGGGGGGGGAATCAATGCAAAAATGTTTTACCCACTCAAAGGGATACAAATGTCAGATACAAGAAGCTGTATCACAAAGTTCCAAGCTTCAAAATCCAAAACTTGTTGGTGGAGGATAAAGGCTTTTTGTTGTTGTTTGGGGTATTAAAAACTAAGTCTGCTAAGTCTGCTACAAAATGTTTCTATACTTTAAATGCAGCTTTTCTGAATGGGACTTCTATGACTAGAAAATAAAATTACAGTTCTGCTGAGGAACACATCGTAGCTTAACAAACTGTGCATTACAAACCCTTGTTAATTTTTCAATAGTTAGCTTTCGTTGTGTAACTGAAACAGCTGAATGATACATGGGAATTCCAGAGGCCCTAGGGTCCAACCCTCTGCAAAAGCAAGCCCTCCTTAGATCAGCTTGCAAGGAAGTTACGCAGCTGATACGTGAGTCATGCACAAGTAATCTTCATTACCAGAGCAACAGCATCTACATTCACTTCCATCAGCAGGCACCAAAGACAGGACCATGGCTGTATCAATAAGTATTTGCCCCCTGCACTGTGAGATAAATGAGCCTGTGCAAATACCACACAATTACAGTTGAACTGATAAATTGCTCTTGAGAAGTAAATGCAGAGATAACTCTGCTGTACCTTTTGAATTTCTTGCTGTCTCTCTGCATGCCTGGTCTCTATATGCTTGATTTTCTTTTCCAGGCACAAGAAATGCTTCATTTCAGGACTCTGGTTCTCCTTAGCCTCTCTCAGTTCTTCCAATAATTTTGTCACCTACAGTTTGAGAGAATTGATGAAAATTGTCATTGTGTTAAGGAGTATATAAAACAGATTCCTTTCAAAGTGTACTTGTGTTCTTTAATCATTCCATTCAAAAGCTGCAGAAAGAAAGACATAAAAGTCTACTTTATTCAAAAGCTTAAACAGAGGCTTGGGCACTTAGAGTAGGATCTTTCATTTGAAAGAAGTGGCCTGAGGATATGAAAATCTAGTCCTTTTTGATGATTCCAATCCTTTTCATAATGTGTCATGAAGTGATTATCCACAGACACTTTCTACACTTCTAAACTTCCTAAAAAATTAATAGAGAATGCTATGATTAGCTGTTCTTACACAATCCTGTCTCACAGCCTGGATAAGAATCAAATATAAAATGTAGTTGTACATTTCTAAGGAATAAATTAAGAAAAGACATGCCGCTAACAGACATGATTACAAACCCCCTTTGGTCTAATACCTGCCAGATCAAATCAGCTCTACCAATGACTTACAACTGATTTCCTAATCCTCCAGAACTTCAGGTACGCTTTCTTATAAAGCTTTACTGGTTTATTCTCATTCTTTGCCTATTTTAAGTAACTTGGTATTTCTCCATTTACCATCCTAAGTATTTTTTGTCATTTTCTTAATGTGTGTAAGTAAACTAAAGTGGAAGCTTTGAAGTCTTTATTATAACCCTTAGCTCCTCTTACCCAATATATTTGAGAACTGCTAACCCTCTTCAAGCACTCAGCTACACCTGGCTTTCTGCTGCTGAACTCAAGTAGCTGGAAGCATTGTGCCTTCTTAAGATGTTGTCACTCTTACTGAGAAGCGACTCCAGGATGGCTTACTATTATTTCCATTTTTTAACATGGTTTTCTAAAATAACAGGGCCTATGTTATTTCATTTCTGCCTCTCTCCATAGCTTCAGCAGCTTTGAAGCTGTGGGACAATTTCAGCCATATTTGTCAGACAAGCTCTCTTAGTTTCATGTGGCCTGTGAAACTGAGTGTCTGCTGCTTGGCTGCGAAGTTGCTCCACAGAAGGTAAAGGGCTGATGCGTGATTTCAAGTACATAATTAAATACAAAATTCATGCAGGAAAGATGTTACGAAGGGAAAAGCAGCTCCAAGGGAAAATGAGCTCCATGTATTTTGCCAGCAACAGAACTATGTTAAATACATAGCTGTGCCATGTGCCAGCTGTTATGCAAGAGAAGTATATAGTTTATGGAAAACAGCCATAAAGAACATTTCTGAAATTAGTATTCAAATAACAATCTTCCAGGGAACCTCAGACTTCATGCCTTTTTTGAGGTACCATGATTTTAGACTGAGGGCTCAATGCTACTGCAAATGGTAGCACTTTTCCCTATCATGACTAATTGTTTGCAGATTTGATTGCCGCCTTTTCTCAGCTTGACATGTTTAACTATTTAATGCTCAAAATGCATTTTATAAGCATTGCAGCAATCATGCTAGAGGGCAAAGGAAGGCTTTACTTTGACATTTCTCTCTGTATAGTGAGGCTATGATTTTTGTAACAAAGCACTCCATTCCATTTTCTTATATGCTAGCACCTTGAACTCAGCCTGTAACAGGGGTCAGATAGGATGATCATTCTCTTAACCATCATTGTCATTAATAATCTGTAAAGCAGTCACAGAAGAAACAAATTAATAACATTTGTCTCATTGTACTCTTGACCTGTTTTCCCAGGAGGAAGTATTATATATACTGAGATAACTAGAGTGGAACAGGCTCTGCATATAAAGGCAACACCTACCATTCATAACATGAACCCAAAGTCTCACCCTCTATTTTGCAAATACAGAGCTTGTTCAATCCCTACAAGCCCTCACTTTTCTATGAGTACTTCACAACAGAGGTGGAATTTTGCATGGGTAATATAAATACTGAATGACTTTAGTGAGATTAATTATATTAAGTATGTACTAAACAAACACATACTGATACTTCTCTCATTTCCTCTAAATAAGGGCAGCAAACAAGACTTAATGTCTGGAGTTCTCAATCCCCTAGAGAATAGGAGAATTCTTTTTAATAATTATTGCAGGTTAATTAGTGTATTATCAAAATGAAGTTAAGATTAGCAATATTCACACATCAAGGAGATGGAGAATTAAGCATAGGCACAATGATAAGCCAGGCTATAGCCTCCTCCTGAAGACCTACAAAACCATAGCCAATAGTTTAAGCAGCCTCAGCTGAAAGACAGAGAGCAATGTTATACAATATTAAGCCAAAAATGAAAACATGAAAAAGTGTAATTTTTAGATTCTATGCTACTAATAGAAGATAAGGAAAACCTAGGTGAGTTTCTCATACCTCTCTGTTACTTCTCTCAGTGAATTTCAGAAGAAGTATTACAGATAAACTTCTCAAGAGACCCTAAGTTTCATAGGTATCAAAGCAGAAAGCCAACTGTGTCCTGGGCTGCATCAAAAGAAGCATGGCCAGCAGGTCAAGGGAGGTGATTCTCCCCCTCTACTCCACTTTTGTGAGTTCTCACCTGCATTCAGCTCAACACAAGATGGATGTGGACCTGCTCAGTCAAGTCCAGAAGAGGACTACAAAGATGATCTGAGGTCTGGAGCACCTCTCCTAAGAAGACAGGCTGAGAGAGCTGGGCTTGTTCAGCCTGGAGAAGGCTCTGGGAAGATCTTCTAGCAGCCTTCCAGTACTTAAAGGAGCCTACAACAAATCTGGAGAGGGACTTCTTACAAAGGTGATGACAGGACAAGAGGGAATGGCTTTAAACTGAAAGAAGGTGTATTTGGATTAGTTATTAGGAAGAAATTCTTGAGGGTGGTGAGACTGGAACAGGTTGCCCAGAGAAGTTGCGGCTGCCCTACCTCTGTCAACGTTCAAGGCCAGGCTGGTTGAGGCTTTGAGCAACCTGCTCTAATGGAAGGTGTCCCTGCCCATGGCAGAGGGTTGGAACCAGAGGCTCCTTCCAGCTCAAACCATTCTATGATAAAACCAAGAATGTAACTAAATCAGTTGTATGGCAATGGGGGATGACAAAAGGAAGGCCTTATCTGAACAAAGAATTTGAAAACAGTAATAAAATATCCTTTTAATATAGAAAAAGTCCTGTGGTCTATTTACTACCCAGCATGACTCTCAAGGCAAAGGCTATGAATGCTTGGATTAACCTGCCGATCAGTTTTCATACAGATGTCAGATATTTCTAACCAATTAAAAGAAAAAAAGAAAGAATTTCAAAGTTCCACCTTCTGTTCCTTGTTGTTCTCTTGTTCACATTAGAAAAATATATTGCCTTCTCAGGTATAACTGATGTAGAAGCAACTGAAAAAGATACTCGTTCTAAGACTTATTCTATTACACATTATTTGAGGCTTTAAAAGGATGAAAGTGAAAACTCTTATTAGAATAGGGTACCCCCAATCCAAATTTAAATATACCTCTTTTTGTAGGAGTTCCTCTCGCATCTGTGAAACTAAAAGGGCTTCCTGATGTCTCTGTTGTTCACCAATTTGTTCTTGCAGATGTTTTATTAATATCTACAAAAAGATTAAAAATAGTTTGTCATTAACATAAATACCCATAATGTGTGAAAACCTGTGCAGGAAAAATACACCAAAAATATAGCCAGTGTTGTAGTACTGCAGGTACAAGTGATGCATGTATCAATCAACCATACTACATCTAACACATGTGCATTACTATGTGCATTAATGTGTGGTTTAATAGTCACTGGTCACGATGTTGATCTATTTGCTCTTGGAGTCAGTGTGCCTGCTCTCAGAGTTGCACTATGTCACACGTCCCTTGCAGTATGTGTTGCCTGCAGTAATGTTTATCATCCTTGGGGCCTGAGCTAAAATCGTCTTCTTGTACTTCTTAGTACTGGCTTACAGTATGACAGAATTGCTGGTCATGAAACTAATCTGGTGCGTGTACTCAGCATTGCCCTCACCTCTGTATGTCGGGAGCCATCTATTGGGAACTATTAATAATTACACCTTTTGTCTTTGTCCCTTTGACAAACCTGGTCCTTTTGCCTGGAATCAGCATGTTGCTGCACATGGTTCAGGCCTTGTTTAAGTTTAAACAACTATTTAAAAATACCACCCAGAGATCTGCGTTGTGGCTGGACAGTCATGAGTGGCAGGGTGTGTGGGAGAGCACAGGCAAGTACCTAGGCCAGTGGGCACCTCCAGTGCCTTGGAACTTCACCACTGAACATGTGCAGAACCTGGAAAAACTAGTAAAACATTTAGAAAAGATATGCTGTCATCCTGGCAATACCAGAGAGGCACAAACCACCGCAACATGCTGGGGCCTATGCCTACAGAGCCCTGCTCAACACTATTCAGTACCCTCAAGGGGAAAAGGAGGTCTCTGGATCTGATGGCAAAGCAACAGACACTGTGGCTACTCTAACCCTGGCAACAGGGACTGCTAGAGAACTAACCCATATCATTACCATGCACTGAAGCCCAGCTCCTCCTGGCATGTCAGTTGCCCTTGGTGGGCTGGATGTTCAAAGGGAGGGTCTCATCTACACATCATGCAACTGCTGCTATGTGGAATAAGTGGGTCACACTGATCACACAAAGAGCTTGAATAAGAAATCCCAGTTGGTCAGGAACCTTGGAAGTCATCATGGACTGGTCAAAAGGTGAATATTTCAGAATGCCACCAGAGGAGGAGGTGATGTGTGAATCTGCCAATCAAGCTGGCCCAGCCCAATCAAAACTTCTACATGCTGTAGAAGAGGATAAAATTCCTGTAGTGCACATAAAAAAATGCTAGTCTGGGTTATTCCTACCTCAGGCAAAGGCAAGCCCATTCATAGGATTGTTTCTGCTCAAGGATCTGGGTGCATTTAGTGGTTAGTGTGGGAGAATGGGGATGACCGGTGTGTACCTCAAGGGGATTTGACTTTCGGTGAGAAAAAACAATGAATTAAACTGTATGATATTAACTGTTCTATTATACTATCACTTCTGTATCAGCTATATGCCCACCACTGCACTGGTTGCAGGCACCAAGATGATGAAGGAACTGGAGCATCTCTCATATGAGGAAAGACTGAGAGACCTGGGACTACTTAGCCTAGAAGAGAGAAGGTTCAGGAGCAGGGGATCTTACCCATGCTTACAAATACCTGAAAAGAAGGTACAAAGCCAACATATGCAGGCTCTTTCCAGTGGTATCCAGTGACTGAAGAAGCAGCAAAGGGCAGTAACTAAAATGCAGCAGAATCTGTCTGACCGTAAGAGAAATTATTTACTGTGAATGTGACCAAGCACTTGTTTGGGCCTCTAAGCTCAGAGAGGTTGTGGAATCTCCCTCCTTGGAGATACAAAAAAGCCATTTGGACATGGGCCTGAGCAACTGGCTCTAGATGACTCTGCTGAGCAGGACAGTTGGACAAGATAACTTCCATAGGTCCCTTCTAATCTCAATCACTCTGTGTGAATACAGTGAAACAGGCCCATTTTTTAAAATAACAGATCCTACTTCAAAGCAAGATAAAGTTTATAGTAATACAGAAAGAAATAACTTTAACAGGTATCTATCTATCTGTTACGAATACACCTACTCTATCTTACCTCTTGTGTTGAAATTTTGCTGCTTAGTTCAGCAACTTTAGAGGTAGAATGCTCCTTTGCATGCTGGCAAAGAATCTTCTCCACTTCTCTCTGATGGGAAGCTTTCAGAGATGCAATGTATTCTGCTGTGTCTTCCTGTATCCTGAACAGAGTGAGAGAAAAATAGTATGTAGTAAAGCAGCTACAGATAGTTCTTCAAAAAAGTTTCTCACTTGAGCATATAAAATATCAAAAATGTTAAAGGCAGAATGTTTTTGAAATTTCGTAACAAAACCTCACAAGAGAGCACTGAGGGGACAACATACAATGTTGGATACATGCCTCATTTAACTAAAGGCAGCTAAAATACAGAGAACTCAGCCAATCATGTTTTTTTTTACTCCTCTTATTAAAAAAAGGAGAAAACAGGTGCTTTTAAATCATAATCCAGCTATCCTATCTCAGGTATCTGTTTTAGAACAGAACATGTTGCAATCTAAATACACCAACTTTGACTATGAAGGGATCTAAGGGAGACCAGGTAAAGTGTGAAGTTTCTATGGTTGGTCAGGTAAATCCCACTGAAAGCATACCCCAGAGTTTGAAGGCAAGTATGTGTACCAAATATCAGTGCTATACCACACAAATACAAAGCATCTAAGATGCAACGACTTACACTGAAATCTTTTTACTTCAAACCATGACAAATTGCGGTATTAGTAAGAAGGATTAATAGAGGTTTGCCTGTAGAATCAATTGTGAGAATGCACTGCTTTAAGAAAAAAACCAAACGAAACCCAACAACAACCCCCCCTTCCCCAACCAAAACCAAACAGTAAAAATGAAATTTACAGGGAACACTGGCTATATATCATAAGTTAGCTTCACACATGGCTGACATGCCAATGCGTCACTTCAATTCTATATCAGCCGACACTTTAACAAGGTTTTTAAAGGAACATGTTGAGCATTTACCTTCGTATGTTATTTTCAGAATAAGCCAGTGTTGCTTGAGACTTCACCCTCTGCTGGTTCATTTCGAGAGACAATCTTTCTAGCTCCTCTTTCAGCTGTGCATTTTCTTGCAGAACTTCCGAGAGATTAGAATCAGAAAAGGTAAATGGTTGGTACATTTTGTCATCGTTCAAAATACTTAGAAAGGGTTTACTGTTGCTGGAATTCTTTTTCTCTGTTGCTGAGATATTCTTTTTCAAGATCTCTGTAGAGTTTTCCTTGTTATCGGTTTTATTTCTTAAATTATTATCAGACAACATCATCATCCTTTCTTTTTGAAGTTTCTCTACAGTTTTTGTAAGGTCTTGTATTTCTCTATTTTTGGTAACCAGTTCTTCATTTAGTTTTAAGAGTCTGTCTTTTGTGTTACCTTGTTTCGTTTGAGAGTCTGAGGACTCCAAGTCTTTATTATCCTTTTTACTTCTGAGTTTTAATTGGGAATTTTGACTTTTAAGGTTTTCAATTTCTGTCTGGAGGTTTTTAACGGTGATCTGATGGGCCTTCTTCAGATTCTGAAGCTCCCGTTCAAGTTCTGTAGAACTGGCTTTATCACTGTTCAGTTTTGGTGATTCACTCATGAATTTGTAGGCAAGTAGTTGCTCAAGCTCTACAAGTCTTTGCTCATACTGTATCTATGAGAGGGAAGTGGGAGGAGGGGAAGAAAAATCAGTTTCCTCAAGTGTACTCTTATTATTAGCTCTTCCTATTATTCTTTAAAATTACTGCACATCTGAAGTAAGATTTCACAAGACACTATTACTAACAACACTGCTCAATCAGTTCAGCAATTAGTGAGTGAAAAAATTATGCAAAGCAAACCAGTCTGCTGTAAAACAGGACTACTCAAAACATTTACTACAAAGTAATCCTCTGCTCACAATGAATGCAGTAACTATCGGAAAGAAAATTCCATTGACAAGAAATTATTTCATTTTTAGATAGCTGAGTTCTCTTCAGATGTTACCAACTCAGACAGGCAAAGTAACATCTTGTTTGAGCATAGCAAGAAGTCTTTCATTAAAAAAAATAATCTGTCATTAAATATTTGCCATGTGTCAGTTTGCAAACATCAGTCATGATCAAAATTGTAATCCACATTTTAAAAAACATCTTGAACAGGACAGATCTTTACTTTTACTTATTTGTTAAGTATGAATACAGAAGTATGAACTCAAGAGGGACACAGAATTGTTCTTCCTAATGAGCTGAGGAAAATCTAACTCTTCTTAATAGCCTGGATAGTCTCTAAGGAAAGTCTGATGTGTTATTACCAGGAGGAACAACTGGACAATGCTTTCCTTTCCTGCTCATTAAGCACCTGTTCAGTTCACCTTTTCCTTGAAGTAAAATGCTTCCTAACACAAATCTTAAGATCTGCTATCATGCAATTTTTTGATAGAATGCTTACTATTCCCAGACATTCCTTGCAGAAATGCTCAGTCAGCAGACCTTTAAAACCACAGCCTTTGGTACAGCAAGCAATTAGGTAAGCAGCTACTGTGACCCACTTGATGAAACATGGTTATCCTAATTGTAAGAATTAAAATTATTATGCCTCAAGAACTTGTCCTGTCAGTTTCAATAGTACTCTAACACTTTCAGTGCTCTTTTTAGATTAGGTGCTGAATCTACCAAAATTCTAGTTATAAATTCTTTGAATACTTTCTCCCTTGAATGCAGTTTTTGCCTCCAGTTTTCTCCACTGCTCTGTGTTAGACCACAGTAACCTTGTGACTGTTACTTGCAGAGCAGACTACTAAACAACCCTCCAGCTTTTACCTTTACTTTTTGAAATTGCTGTTCCATGGCACGGAGACTTTTTTTAGCTTCATCATCTTTACCTTCAAGTTCAGTTTCTAACTTTTTTATTCTTCTCTCCAAAAAATCAACTGTGTTTGGTTTAGCTGAAAGATCATTAGTCTTCTCCGCAGCGGCAGCAGCATAAATCAAAGCAGGCAAAGAATTTGGATACCTTCTTTTTAGAATTCCTTCCATTTCACTGATCTATCAAAAAGAATATTGAGTCAGAAGTCAAAAAGAATAAAGTTCTATTGAAAAGTGAATGAGAATAACTGACAGAATGCTAATAAATGTCACCCACTTAAGATGGGAGAAAGAAAAAGAGAGAGAAAGAGAGAGAGAGAAAGAGAGAGAGAGAAAGAGAGAGAGAGAAAGAGAGAGAGAGAGA